TATTTATGTACCAGTATGGTTGGGAAAAGGAGTAATTAAATCGATCAACAGCGCTATTCTTTCTCATTTGGTTGATAGTGAACATCATATCAAAATAGAGGAAGCTTTCTCTGTTTTGCATCAAATTTCAAAAATCTACCTCATGGAGCTAGATTACGACTACTCTACATAGTCTAAGATATCTGGATCAACTCCAGAAAACCAAACTTATATATCCAGAAAATGTATATCCAGCCTCCATGTTTATCTTGGCCTACGACTGGATCACTAGATACCTAAACTGAATATTATAAACCTTTTACCCCGTTCCCATTTTTTTGATTACATCAATCTTAACCTTCACATACATCATTCCCAATTCACTTGAATTTTCTTTTATCGTAATTACCTTGGTAACACTCCTCCTATTACATATTATATTCACACAACGATATTATTATTATTGTTATTATCACTATTACCTCACTTGACAAAATGAATTTCTCCTACTATGCATTTTGTTCACACGAGTTTTTCTTTTGTCATTTTCATGCACTAGATACCTAAAATCATTCTAACCTTTGTTAAGTGACCTTTCTAATTTGCAAATAACACGATTTTGAAGTATATATGTCGCAACAGATGCAAACGTTCACCATTTTTAACATATATGATTGTCAAATTCCTTAATACATACCTTATCTTGGCCTTTGTAAAATATTCTATTCATGGACTTATAACTATAGAGCCTGATGATGAAGTAATTGAAACCAATCATCCGTTCAAATATTCATTTTAAAAATCATTCATTGGTATTTAATTTATTATTAGTTGACATAAATGAAGACGGAAAGATGACCAATTTTCTACAAAACTTTAATCAACATCTTTTGTATCGATATATACTACTCTTAAGAGTTTCTGAGAACATAAGTGCAAAACAATCATTTATGTAAGGTTACGGAGAGAAAAAGTTAAAAGAAAAGATTTGAATGTGAATAACAACACTTCCAACAAAAACTATACTAATATTTGAAGAGTTTTCCCAATATTTCATTGTTAAGACATATACTCCATATGTCTTAACAATGAAGTGTTTTGTCAGTGTAAACTTAATTGATCGGATTAATATTTTCATCATTAAGACTAGGAAAACATTTATAACCCATCATCTGTAGCCCAAAAATCATACATAGATTAATCTAACGAATCCAATTTTTCATTAATATGATTTTGTACAAAAACTCATAACATTCAATACAAACCATGAGTACTGGAGTACTCTACAGTTTGTTGGTCAGAACCAAAGATTGTATAAATTAAACAAAATTTTGTTTTAAACTGATGCAGGAAAAAAATGTTACATAATATTAGCTACTTTAGGTAACCAATTTGTGTTGAGGAAAATTTCATACACATAGTTCTCTTTATCATTTTGAAAAGAGCAAGAACAAAGATTCTAGCAGAATAGCATGAATTCATTTTATTTCGTAGGTTCTCGTCAGCTGCTTACAACCTGTGATATTTAAAAATCATAATTGCATAATGGATTTAAATTGCTTACAGAATATTGTAAATATATACCTAATGTGAACGAATATTCTACAACATTAATTGTGACAACAGTTCAAAAGTGGGTTAGAAACAAATGATTACATAATGAATAAGCATTGATAGGAATATAGTGAGTAGAGTTCAGTTGAAAGATTATTCATTTGAAAGATAGTTGAAAAAATAAAATAACATCAATGATGTAATAAATGCTAAAGAAAGAAGAAAGGAGAAAAAGATTTTAAGGTGCAGTGAAGGAATATTTGTCACCAGGGCAAAGAAAGATTAACCACCGTCTCTTTTTGAATACATAGGTCAGGTTTTTGACGCCTGATAGCAATGGCTTCAGCAAACTTCAGATGACTGGAGTTTGGCTGCCTACTAATCACCCTAAAGGATTGTAAGGTATCCACCTGATGTCCTGTATCAAGGAGATGTTTGGTGATTGCACTGTTCAGAGTCTTTCTTCCCCTTGTTCTAAGACTTTTTGGAACATGTTCAAAAAATCTAAGATATGCTCTCCTTTCAGTTCGGTCGATGTAGCTGCTTTGGCAGGTACACGTAAATTTATAAATACAGTTGGTGGTAACATGAAAGGGTTGCTTGTCGATCTTTGATTGGGTTATTGAACATGTTGTTTTATAGAGAGTTAAAAACTTAAGCAGCTGGATACGTTCTGGCTAGAGCAGTGTTCAGTCTCCTGTTGATTATTTATACGACGTTATCACCTTTAAAGTTAAGATTTATATATACTAGCTTTTTATTGACCGTAGTTATTTCCGTCTTGTTTTCTTTGGACTTTTTATATTTGTTAATAAACCTTTGTGGATAAAAGTTGTCTTTTAGACATTTTTCTACGTTCACTAATTCTTCTTCCAGTTAGTCGGCGGTGCATATCTTTTCTGCCCTGTAAAATAGTGTTTTAACCAACGCCTTCTTGTAACTAATTGGACAAAAACTATTGAAATTCAGAAAGAGGCCATTCCAATTACTTTTTCTATAAATTGAACGTTGAACTGTCCCGTCTCCCCTGCGTTTTATGGCAACATCAAGAAAGTGGAACATATCGTTCTGTTCGTGCTCAATAGTAAAATGTATGTTATTATATGCGTTATTGAAGAGTTTGAGCAGGCGGATTGCATGTTGTTTATTATTACAGATAATAAATGTATTTATAAATTTACGTGTACCTGCCAAAGCAGCTACATCGACCGAACTGAAAGGAGAGCATATCTTAGATTTTTTGAACATGTTCCAAAAAGTCTTAGAACAAGGGGAAGAAAGACTCTGAACAGTGCAATCACCAAACATCTCCTTGATACAGGACATCAGGTGGATACCTTACAATCCTTTAGGGTGATTAGTAGGCAGCCAAACTCCAGTCATCTGAAGTTTGCTGAAGCCATTGCTATCAGGCGTCAAAAACCTGACCTATGTATTCAAAAAGAGACGGTGGTTAATCTTTCTTTGCCCTGGTGACAAATATTCCTTCACTGCACCTTAAAATCTTTTTCTCCTTTCTTCTTTCTTTAGCATTTATTACATCATTGATGTTATTTTATTTTTTCAACTATCTTTCAAATGAATAATCTTTCAACTGAACTCTACTCACTATATTCCTATCAATGCTTATTCATTATGTAATCATTTGTTTCTAACCCACTTTTGAACTGTTGTCACAATTAATGTTGTAGAATATTCGTTCACATTAGGTATATATTTACAATATTCTGTAAGCAATTTAAATCCATTATGCAATTATGATTTTTAAATATCACAGGTTGTAAGCAGCTGACGAGAACCTACGAAATAAAATGAATTCATGCTATTCTGCTAGAATCTTTGTTCTTGCTCTTTAAGGAAAATTCTTGAATGTACGCGAATAAAATTAAAAAAAAAATAAACTCAGTAATTAAAAATTAAATTTGGCTCCTTCGTTTTGAAGATAAAATATATAGTTTTAGTGGTAACGTTTCTGATTACAACTGTGGTTGACGGGGATTTGAATCGCATTGGTAGTGACGTTTTTCTTAAAATTTCATATGGACCTTAACTACGAATCCTAACAAGTATGAAACCTAGGTCCATCTTAGAGATTGCATAAAACTCTATCATGATCCATCTAATCTATATAATACTTTAGTTCAAACTATAAATATCAAACTGTTATGAAACAGCTATATAATGATCCATGGTTTACAATGACTTTTTTCGGAGCTTTTGACTGTATGTAATTAACACTAAATGAAGATTATTCTGTAATAAGAAAGAGTAGCAGCTGAAATAAATAACTTTAGTGGAGTTAGATGGTAGAAATATTTTTCATCTCATGGATTCTTAAAATTAGTGGTGTTAACCTTGTCCTGTCATTGAACTAAACATTCCCCAGTGAATAATTTGCATCATTTGCATGAATCATATTCGAAAAATTAAAATGTGGAGAATAAAACATAACCGAAAACCCATGTTTCATCATTATTTTTCCTTAAACTGTACATTAATGTTCATACAGTTTGCTCTGATAAAAAGACCATTATAATAAGATATCTGTTGTATATGGTAAATGTAATATTGTTATGTGATAGCTGACAAGATTGTTTAATAAAGCATCTATTTTTCTTTTAAAAAGAATTTTAAATTAAAGATTAATCTCGATAGTTGAGATCATGAGTCAATTGAAGATAGACCATCATGGAAAACCTGGAAGAACTGGACGACTGTTTCGTCCTACCGTAGGACTCCTCAGCAGTGCACACCCACGGTTCTGCCTCGCGAGATTCGAACCCAGGACCTACAGGTCTCGTGCGTGAGCGCTTAACCACTAGACCACTGAGCCGGCATCCAACGGTGTTATTAAAGATTAATTATCAGTGAAAGGATTAAAACAAAACTGAAGACCTGTAGTTTGAATCACTTAAGAACTGTGCTCCCGTTGTTCTTGCATATGATCGAACCCATAACTATCATTCGTGCAATCAAACATAATCATAAATGAAATTTCCATTTAATTACATATTTTCGCGTTTTTTTTCTTTTGTTTATTTGTATACACAAGTGAAATTTTGACTTACTTCTGATTATTAAACATATAACCAACATTAAATTTTGTTAGTAAATTGTCTTTTGTTTTTACAAAATGAGGATATTAGGTGGTTGAACGTAAACGATATGAATCCCTGAATATATATAGATATATTATTCATATCACTAATGATCGCTTCTTGTGTAATTCACACACTCATTGATCACTTAATTATCATACTGCATCATGGTCGAAAAAGTGATCATCAAAAGACAATATGATATTGATTCCTATTAAGTAATCAGGTAGTTTGAAAACTGAATCCAAAAAAAACATCAGTATCTAATTATCAGCCTTCTGAAAATAATAAAAATCCTGAAGTTACATTGTGTTCATTTCAGTATCAATAATAGAAAAACAGAGTACAATTGAGCATTTAGTCTATTGATCAACTTACATGAATACGTGATTGCCAGTTGAATAAACGCCATATAATACATGGTATTGAAAACATTGCAGCTTGTAACATTAACAAGAATGGCACCCATTGATAATAATGTATAGAATCTTTTCTACGTAACGGTAAATCTGATGGTATTGTTGGTTGATCAGGTGATATAAAATAAGTTGAAGTTACCCAACATACTAATGTAGCATATTCAACTTGTGCACTAGTAAATTCATTCGGTGTCCAACATGCTATTGGTTTACCAATAAATTGTCTACCCGTTATTACAAGTGTACATATCATAAGTACAGTTGTTGTATATGAATGATTAATTCTATCAATAAAATCATCATCAGTTCGACTTTTACTACTTCCAATTTCAATACTTAATCGTGTTAGTCCATTCAAAACACTTGATTCAAACATAATGGTAACACTTTAAAATTAATGTATATTACTGAAAATCTATATTCAGTTCAATGTTTGATATCTTTAGTATCTAATGCTAATTTAAAAATTACCATCTATGTAGTTTAGGGATTTGTACAAA